TCATGCACAACTTCCTTAAAGTCAATGAGAAAAGTATAAAATAATTTTATAAATATGTTATATATGAGTTCAACAGTTATTACATAAATAATATACGATGTTATTATCATAAATTAAAAATTTTATATGACATGAATTGTTTCCTTTTTTTCCTTTGAACTAAATTTCGCAATTAAAGAATTTATATTATTACAGAATAAAATTAACATTAAAATAGATAATTTATTTTCTATCCTTTGTTTCCTTGAAAATTGTTTTAAAACTTGTAAAATGTATGTATTCAATAATAGTAAAGAGGATGAAGAAAGTGAAATTTCATTGTATTATTTGTAACAGCAAACTAGTCAAACTGAAGAATATATAGGAAGCAAGCAAGAAAGAAGAGATAAGAAAAGAAAGCATACAGTGATGGAGTTATTTCATACACATTATAGAAGACGTTCAAAAAATGAAACAGATAAATTAATAAAAAAGGAAGGAATTATAGTTAATGAAAATGTAGAATGCTTTTCGGAAAATAAAATTGATTTAGATGGAACTTTATTTGGGCCTTGCTATGATCCAGGCACAGATTTATTACGTGGGTTTGACACCAATGTATCTAAAATGAAAGCTTATCCTAAAAAAAGTAAAAAGGAAGTATCTAAGAGTGAAATAGATCAAGTAGAAGATGTGGGTCCCGAATGGATTGATGGAGAACCTCAGGGAACTGAATCTTATATAGTGGATGGAAATGATGGTATGTCAAAAGAAATGGAATTTACACTCACTATTCTTATTCTACATTATCATCATTTATGTATATGAGTAAAAATGATATGAACGTGTAATATGTTTGTTTCTTAAAGGACCACGTCGATCAATAATAGTTGCAGACAGGAGATTACCACCTGGATGGCAAAAACATTTTACTCAAAGAAAAGCTGGTACATCAGCTGGAAAATGGGATGTCTTATTTCTTCATAAATCAAGTGGAAAAAAATTTAGATCAAAAAATGATATTAGGGCATTTATGGAAAATCAGGGGCAATTCGACTTTGATCCAGAAAAATTTGATTTTTGCATTCATCGAAAAAAGAAAAATCAAAGTCAAAAAGTAAAACAAGATATTGTTGTGGATACTCCAAAAAAGATTAAGACTTTATTGCCTAAAACAAAGGCAACACCAATAACTGAGAATTCTTTACCTGTTCCCGCAAGTACACCAGTTACAACATTATTATCTACATCAAGTACATCTATTAAAGATGGTGGTAAGATTCCATTTCTTTGTTTCATTTTTATATTTTTCATATTTTATTGAGCTTACTTTTTTATGCTTACCTATATTAGGAGTAATTTATTGTAAGTATTAGTAGATAATATTGTTTATATATATTACGTATTATTAATTAACCAAATTAGACTAAATATATTTTTATAAATAAGTGTATAAATAAGTAGTATATAAACTTTGTTTAATGTGTTGTTAGAAAAATAATTCTTTGTTTATTTGTTGATAGCTGTTTTTATTGGTGGACTTCGAGTAGAAATGGAGGACAGTGCTTATAAATGTCCGAAACAAGGGTGTAGTAAAACATTTAGGAAGGAAAATCTTCTACAAATGCATATAAAACATTATCATCCAGAATATTCGAAATTTTTGGGATCTACGCCAAATGTTGCAGATTTAGCTTATGCAAGAACAATTGGGGAATCTGTTGAAGATATTATTCCAAAAAAGTCAAATAATTTGTTAGAAAAGTGCAATAAATTTGGGAAGAGAAAATTTATTCAAGATAAATCATTGTATGTTTCATCATCTTCTGTAACAAATACTCTTCAACCTATATCGCCAACAGCAATTGTACCAACAACAGTAGAAACAGAGGATGAAGTAGACCAAATGGAAAAATCCAATGATGTGCAAACAGACGATATTAAAATGGATAGAATGTCTCCAAGTTCTAGTCATAGTTTAGATATGGATGATGAAATTGAACAAAAACAGGAAGATACGTGTGCAATGTCACCAGGAACACTATTTGATATGAAAATTAGGGAAGAAAAAACGCAAAGTGGCATTAAGACACTTCTTCCGGTAAGACCAGCCATGTCTTCAGAAGCACAGCGAATTGATAGATCAAAGTCTTTAGATGAAGCTATTCATATCGACAAAATAAAAGGTCAAAGGAAACGACAATTATCAGAATATAGTTCTGATGCATTAAACAGAAGTAAAAGGCGACATGGTAATAACTTAGTCATTATAATTTAATCATTCTAATAAATTAAAAATATGAAATGTTATTTTTTAATGGGCATTTTAGAATTTCCGGATGAGTATGGTGATTTAGATGATAGTACTATGGATATAGAAGGAGCAGGACCAACTACACCCACGTATAGGTATAGTCGCAGAAAATCAGATTCAAAATCAGATGAAAATAGCCAAAGTAGTAAGTTGCTTTTTACTTTGATATGCAATTTTCAATACGAATAATTTTATATTGAATCTTACTTTTTAATTTTGCTATTAACATTGGTTTATTTCCATGTAATAAAGACGGTATTTTACTGCTTTATTATTTTATTTTTCTTTAGGTCAACTAAACGATTCGCGTGTTGAAAAGGATGATCCTTTGAAAGGGAATATTGGTAAAAAAGATACTAATGATGGGGAAGGTATATTGTTTATTTTTTCAATGTTTTTCTTTATTTTATGTTAGATTTATATTGATCTTAGGTTTGAGTTATAAAATGTTTCGATGTATAGAGTATTTTTATTTCTCATATTTTGATATTTATTTCATAGTTTCTTTTAGTTTAAGCATTTATTTAAGCATGAATTGTATCTTTAACCATAAATGATAATTATCTTTTTATGGTGACTTAGCAATTGTACTTTTGTAGAGAATGAAGGAGTTATGATGATGATCAATGGTGAAATGGTGAAAGTGGAGCAGCTTCGTAGGGAAGAAATAATAAATTGCACTTGTGGATTTATGGAAGAAGATGGTTTAATGATTCAATGCGACCTTTGTTTGTGTTGGCAACATGGTCACTGCAATGCAATAGAAAAGGAGAAGGATGTACCTGAGAAATATGTTTGTTTTATTTGTCGGAATCCATATCGGCAACGATTATCCAAAAAATATTTTCATGATCAAGATTGGATAAAGGAAGGGAAGCTACCAACATTATCTAGCCGAACAAAAAATCAGCATCGAGTTAATCAAAGAACAGCTATGTTAAAACGTTCTTATGATCTAGTTGCTGCTCTTTTACACATTCAGCAAGTTTTACACAGTTTAAGAGTAAAAATCAATGTAGCTCAGTAAGTATTACATAACTATAATTAAATTGGAAAATATAGAAAATGATTATTAATAATAAAATTTGTGTGATAGAAAGAAAGATCATCCAAAGCTATATCTGTGGGCCAAAAATTGGGAAAAAGTTGAAGTACCAAAACCAAATGTTACACCAGTACCAATCATGGAGATTATGAAAGTAGGAAAAGAATGTACAGATATTCCAAATGAAGGTTTTCATCGAACTGAAGTAAAAACGGAAGCAAAGTTCAGTTTAAGAGATGATCATGATGAAAAGTCGATAGCCTCAGATTCAGAATTAATGAAGATATTAGAAGAAGATAATATAACTCCAGATGAATCTAAAATTAACGGCAAAAAGGAAGATATTATACATCAAACTAAAAGTAATATTCTTCTTGATGCACTTACGAAAAATGATACTTCAGAAGGAAAATATACAAACTCATTACCTTCAGAGGTGAAAACAGATACAGGTAGAAAAAGAAAACAAATAAAACAGAGATAAATAAAAATATATCTTTATTTATAACAAAAAAATAATATTTTTGATATAGATTTGTTAACCAATCAATCAGATATATACGAGAATAACGTATCACCGACAACTATATCAGCGAATCACATGCATGAAGAACTAAATGAACATGAAATGTCAGCACCGTTGCAACCTTTCATACCACAACCAGAAGCGCCAATTGACCCAGGAGAATGTCGAATGCGATTATTAGAACACATAGAACATTTTCAACATCATATAGATGCAAAATTAACATTTATCGAGGCAGAAGTTTGTGGTTGGTAAATTTTGTCAACGTATTTTATAGATTGGAAAGAAAGTCAAATACAAATCTTTTTTTAGCTTTAGAAGCTATGGATCCTGAAGATACATCTACCTTAGATGTTGAGCCCCGAACTAAACAAACGGTTCAAATGCTTGTTCGAGATTTAAACACCGTACGAAAATTAGCTGCTTTATGTCGAATATAAATAATATTTTTAGAAAATATTTAGAAATAAAATTTCTAAGAATATAGTCTGTATGTGTAGAAATTCTAATATGAATCTAAAATCTTATTTTTTATAATGTTGAAGAATTATTATGAATATAATTTTGAACAGCTCAGTGGATACTCAATTGAGACTTACAATTAGGAACACCATACAGCTGTATTTTATATTGTAAATATACACTGTTTTATGTGCAATTGTAATTAAATTGATTAAAAAATTATTTGTATGTAAATACATTGCTGTTATTATATCAGTCCTGTATTTTCTAAAAATAAGTATAATCATAACATAAATTACTCATAATGGAAGTGTTACAAAAAGAACATACATAAAAGTATTATTATTCCAAAGATGTTTCAGTGTTATTTAACAATATATTAGGTTTTAATGAAAATTGTATTAAAGAAAGAATGTTAAACGGTCATCTTTTTTATTTTTAATTATTTAAATTTTCCATTTGTGTGAAATATGGTGTTATACATTTACAAAAGAAATAATCATTTATGAAATATACAAATATTATTAAAATATATCATACTTATTAATTATAATTGGGAAATAGTGAAACCATCGGTGAAATGATTTTTTGATTTTATTTTATGATAGGAAAATTAGGAAGGGAAGTAAGTACTTGCCGCCATCATAGTTGGGCTGATGACGTCAAGAAGCATAGTGGTACACAATCGTAGCGCACGAAAAACAAAGACGGTGAAAATATTGTCTACATTAATAAGAGAGAACAGAAAAAGCATGTGTGCGCACGCATAAGAATGATGAAGATAGTAAGAGAGTGCCAAGGAGGGAATGAGAGGGAATAGAGGCGTGCAGCAAGCAGTACGACAGGACGTAGAACGGCCGCTGCCGTGGTGTTTGGGCTCGGCTCGGTTGTGCCGCATCCGTTATGACGATACGATAATCCAGCGCTTAGCGCTGTGAGTGTGTAATACGTTACTTGCCATTACGCATTATTGATATTTATATTTTACGAAAAATTCGGGGAGAACGTGATGGAAGTGTATTGTTTTCTAATCTGATTGGTAAACTGTTCCTTCGTTGATCGTTAGAGTTCTTTCATACGCCATGTGCCATTGCTCTATGTGTATTTCCTTTCTCTTTCGGTTGTGTTCGGTTAAATTTTCATGAAAATATTCGTGTAACCAGTTTACCGGTGAATTATTTTAATAAAAATTTTCTATTAGTGATCCTGGTGTTCTGTGTAGTGTAAGTGCGAAAACGAAATTTTCTTCTTTCTATATCTCTACATTATTATACGGTTTAAATTGCAATAAGGAATAAGAACAATAACGAGAGAAGCAGAAAAGGGGATAGACGGTGGATTTGTTGAGCTCAAGTGGAAAAGATATCTCGCAAGGAGCGCAAGTGGCGTATCAAGATGGCGCATAATTTGGCACCGAGCGTCAACTGTTCGCTCGACGACATTGATCTGAACGCTTTGAAGGTGCGTTACGACTTTTAATGCTTTTTATTTATCAGGCATAATCTAATATTTAATGATATTTGTTTATGGACGCAGAAGTCTATTTTTTGTAGTTTCTATGAATTCAATGATTGATAATTAACCTCATAAGAGTAAACGATGATTATTATTCCTTGGTAGCACCACAGCATAATGAAGAAAGAAGGAAATAAGAGAATACAATTTTGTTGAATTTCTGTACAACTCTTTAAAATTGCTTTTTAAATGCTTTTTAAAAAATAAATTAAGGAGATTCGAAGTTGTTTAGTTAGTCATTTTTGTATTTTGTTCGCGTTTACAGTTTTGGACTGATTTATACAAATTATCTAAAAATTAAGATTAACAGTTAATATTGTGAACAGATATTACACATACAATTTTTACGTACAGTATTATTAAGTAAATATAAAATTATAGTTAGTTATTATTATCTCATTTTTCTCTCTTTCATTATTGTATTATTTTTCATTGATGCAAGAATTTTTTATTTCTAATAAGTTGTAATATATGTAACTTTTTTTAGAATGTGAACTAAATATAGTGCATACATGCATACACTATGCAGATGTGTATACATGTACCTATTAAACAAATATTAACAGTTTATATTATTTGAATATTAAAGATTTAAGTATTGTGATACATCTATTTCTTAAGGATCTATAAAATATTTAACAGTATTTTAGTATATGAAAATAACTGATTGAAAATTGTTGATTCAAATATTATTTTATACATAATATACATCATGCAGTATATTGTATATATACATTGTACAAAAAACACGATATACAAATATAATTTATACTTAAATTGTATATGCATGTATATATACTTATATGTATGTATGTGTGTTATAGGAACCAGCAGGTATTTTCGAGTTAATCGAAGTTGTTGGTAATGGAACATATGGCCAAGTTTATAAAGTAAGTATATATTACAAGTTCATAAATAGTAATATTTTAGGTTTGTCTCTTTCTTATGAATAATATGAATGAATAATAGAAAATTTGTATAGAATCTTGATCAAGAATTCAATATATTTTAAAATGTTAGATTACATAATAATAGTAGTTTATATGTCAAAGATCTGGTACTGTTCTTTGAAATGATAATTGCTTTTAGTAATTTATGGTACTGAAAGTTATGATTTTAGATTTTTATTATTCAAAGAATAACTATAGTTTGTCAGAATAGTTAAACGTACGTATACAAATAGTATACAGTATTAGATAACTTATGAGTTTTGAAGAATAGTTAAATCTCTGACTTTCTTAATTTTTTCCCTTATTTACATTACATCTAGCTATAACTTTTAATTACTTTATTTTTATAGACATTACTATGTTATATATCTTTTTATATATATGTGATTTTATGAAATAAATACATATATAATACATATATTATGAAATAAAAAAACTTTAAAACTTGATTGTACAAGAGATAAATGCATCTATGACTTTTAAAATTTTTATATAATATGCATCAAAATTAGTGGTAATGAATTATAGGTTAATACAAAATGATATTTTTATGACTACTTGATATTTTCTTAAGATCCATACACACATATGTAAAGATTCATGTACAGATATTTACATATAGATTTATATTAACTTAAGCATAAAAATAAATAATGATTTAGCTGACTTAAATCACAAAATCAAAGAAAATAACCATTCATTTCGAAAGAGAATTTCTCGCGAATTATCTTCAATTTTGGAAGAAAAATATGTGTATAAGAAAACGTAAATTTCAATCGGAAGAATGCAAAAGATACATCATACGATGTTAAGGTATAAAGAACAAGGCAGGCTCTAGCATTATTAATGTTGTTTTACGTGTATATTTTTTGTATAGTGTAAATTATATCATATATTAATTTATGCTTTTTACAGTGTGTATAGTTTTCGTACTATCAGAGGTTGTTATAATATGTAGAGTACATTGGATGTGACATGATGTGCCTAATTTTTATTTGCATATTGGTTAAACATTAATTTGTACATTGTTATGTTGCTCAGAGACATTATTATGATTCTTACTTTTGTATGTGTATGATAATAAAGAATAAGAGGGGAATGAGGAAGAGTGCGATGACCTACTATTGATGACGACATAGAACGAATGAAACAGCCGTGCGCATGAGTACAAACGATTAAACGCTGTGTTGTCAATTTGTTCTGATTCCTCAATTGCTTATATCTTTCACAGTCAAAGAATTTTTGAAAAAATTTGTATAAGAAATTAATCAGGAGAAGTGATAGCTGTGTCACATATTTTAATGTCATCGGTAGAGTATTGTAATATTTTATAACGCTAGTATTTTCTTTCTCCTCACTTCCTCTCTTTTTCGATAAAATGTATGTTACGTTAGATCAACTTGTAACTTAAATAAGAATTGAAATAATAAAGAATAGTATATACATACAGTAATATAAGATTTATCTTCTATGACTATTGACTGTCATTAAAATGGAAACTACAAATTTAAATTATGTCAGATCATTTATTCAGCATTTTAGTGCAAGTGTGTGCACTTTTGAATTTATGGTCATTTTAATAAAATTGTTTAATATTTTTCTTATCTGGATTCATCCCCTTCGCCTTCCTCTTTTATTTTTGTATTTAATTTAGTTCCTCACTTTCTCGACTGACTATCTTTTTGTTAATGTACTATTTTAATGTACGTATGTCAGTTATTCAGTTATATAATCTCATGAGTTCAAATATTATTTTTTGGTTTAAAAAGAACGATCTCTTTTTTTCTATATTTTTTATATACCAAATTTTAACGTTCATTTTAATTTATATGCATCCTTATTGGGATAGAAAAAGTAGTTCTTGCGAAATATATTTGAAGAAAAGATAAGAATTGAGATTATATTTTTTAGAATATTTTGGGAACTACAGTCTGCAAGACATCTTTTAAAACCCCTAACGGTCATTGTTAGTTTATACACAGGTGCTATATATGCTATATATAGCACCTGTGTATATGCTATATATAGGTGGTATATATGCTATATATGGTCGAAATTAATTTTCAATGAATAAATAGTAATAACATAATGGAAGACAAATAATAAACAAAATTTATTGTTCTTTTCGACTTCACACACATATGTGAAACAATAACATGGTTTCATTTGATATAAAAATCATATTCTATACTATTCCATCATGGTATAGTATCTCTCAAAACATTCTCCGATCCGATGCTCTGGTGTTCGAGGACATGTATCACGAAAGTAATTAGTTTGTTGCAATGAACAGAAATTTTAGATCCAATAATTTTTGTCTCCATCGCGTAATTAATTTTTTATCGACGCTATCCTTTAGGCGTGACATTTATACCACTATTCTCATTCTCATCAGTTTCTTCTATTCATTGTCGCCAGAAATTATTAATTACGTCACTCGTCTTTTTATTGGAACTATGTCACTTTCGGAATTACTATCATAAATATTTTCAGAATAACCGTTATCACTTTCCATGTAGGTACATCACAGGAAATGTTTTGAGTCAATATAAAATTCGTCACCATACTATTAATTTTACGATATACGTTTCTCGTTAACACTCAATTTTCTTCTAGTCATTTTAGAATACTATCCATTAAATGTTATAAGGAGCCCGAGTCTCTAATTGCGTTAAAAAGAAAAAAAACGTATAAAGTGTTATTGAGAGCTTTGTGTATAGGGTACTCCGGAGTGTGTCAAGATTTTCGATTAAAATACATTTGAACAAGAACAAATTGTTGAATTTATAAAGATCTCGAAATGTGACACTGACTTTTTGTTGAATATTTACATAATAAAATTGTAATATGACATTATTTCGTATTCCGAGTGAAAGTGAAAGTGAATATGTAAACTTGGAACTTTAAAAATAGAGCTCTCGTTCAATATGTATGATGTTTATATTTTGAAGATTTTTCCAACTATTTTGTTTTATATACACTTTATAGTTGAAACAGTACAAATACTACGTTAACGAGATAACATATTTAAATATTAATTACAGGTAGTAGATTATGTATATATGTAAGAAATGGTAAGAAATGCCGAGAAATGGGATAAGCTTAGAACCAGTAATAAAAACAAAATTATGAACTTTGGCAATTGTATATTTTGACATTTTATTCCACGTATTTCGATCATTTCTGGTATGTAGTTACAATTCGAAAGATAAGCAAACATAATTCTAATGTAAGAGGACAAACAATTTTAAAAACAGATTTTCTTTTTTGGTCTATAGTTCATGTATTTATATAAATTTAACTGGAAATGAGAAACAAGAAAAATGATTAGACATATTCAAATTTTTAAATATATATTTTAAATAAATAACTCTTTTCTTTAAACTTTGTATCTGATTTGTTTTCAATAACATGCAATTAAAAAAACACACATGCAGTTTTCAAGATTCGAAAACTATTTTCATTTCATTGATGATCGGATGATTGCCAATAAATATACGCGCGGTACAGTTTTCTAAGAACTATGTATTTCCCATATAAATTTCAATAAAATTGATGAATGCTGCTTTGAAATGTACCTTTATACGTAGTTTAGCTTGCAAGTGGTGTCAGTTATCTGTTTCCAAAATTGTAAAGGATTAAATTTATTTTAATCTCATCGGAATTATTAATAAATCCCGTTACTATAGTTTTACATATTTTGTGGGAAGATAATATTCATTATTATTTTATTGTTCATAATTCGTTAAGTATCCATCTATTAAATAAATGATTTAATTTGAGATACACAAGTAAAATTTAGAAGACGCTATATTAAAACTGTGTTTCAACGAAGGATTTGTCTCTCAATAAATGATTTCAAAAATACAGTGTCAGTATTTGAAAATATTAATCGAAGTTATATTGGAAATTTAATAAACAATAATAATTTAAATATATATATATATTTAAGTTATTATATATATATATATATATATATATATATATAAAAATCATGAATGAATAAAAGTGATATGAAAAATTCAAAGTTTTTAACTTCACATTCAAGTCCATTAATATTTCATAAAGTAATTTATACAGTACCATGTTTGAAAACGTAACTATATTTTTTACATAAACCCAAGATATTTTTCATCAATTTATACATTTCAACGGTAGTTTTCAATATCTTTCAATAAGCAAGAAGGAAACCTATCTTTAACGATTCTATCGAAAATCCATATTTATTTTTAAGTATGTACTAACAACTTGCCTTTTTCGACGGAAAGTAAGCAATGCTAAAGTTGCGATCATTAAATACGGATATCTTGAAAATAAAAATTTATAATAACTCCGACGTTATTCTCTACTTTATTCAAACACACATGCCATTATAAGGCGTAACGTGTCTTTAACGTGTGTTGTAATGTCTTATGCGTTCACCGCTAATATAATTTATGTTACGGTTATGCTATTAGAAGGTATCTGGCAGTTTGAAAGATGGTAGAATTGCGTGTTTCTAGACCTAGAAAGTCAGCTTTTCATTGGCAAGCCACATAAACGTGCCATTGGTCAGAGATTATCGAAGAGCTTCGATAAACGCCATGCATCAGCATGCAAAGAATAATTGACCAAAGCATAGAAAATTTCGAAACCAGGAGAAAACTTTTCAGAATAGTCACAAGTACTACATTAAGTATTGTTGGAATCGCCTCACCCCATCTGAAGCATAGGCGGGTATAATATCAAACAATCATGGGATCTAGTTCAATTATTAGTTATGACTCATAACACGTATAGTGACTCGCAAGAGTATTTATTTATTTACCATATAAAACTTTTATGTTGTATGTGCATATTATGCATGTTACATAAAACATGAAATTTCATTAACCCTATTATAGGACGCAATTGCCATGATTATATTGGCGAGATTTGAATTTAATCTGAAAATGAATGTAGAAGTTACAAGATATTTACTCCAAACTTATATTTAGGAAAAAATTAGTACATGGTATGAATATAATACGTGTTAAAGATGTTTCCACT